CACAGCTTTCAAAAGAGACAGTGGTATCCCATGCCTATAATCCCAGCACTCAGCAGGTTCAGGTAGAAGGGCCACTTTGAGTTCCAGGCCATCTTGGCTGTTTAGTGAGTTTCAGACCATCCCTGGCTTCAAAAAGAGACCCTGTCTCAAATCACTCAAACCAAGGCTAGAAAAATGGCTCAATGGTTCAGCACACACACTGCTCTCCGGGGGGACCTGAGGACAGTTGCCAGGATCCCTTTCAGGCAGCTCACAACTGCCTGTAACTCCAGCTTCCGGGGATCTGATGCCCTCTTCTGGCCTCCATCGGCACAGCACTCACATGCATGAACCCTCACAGACACACCTAAAACTCAAACCAAACAAAAACACTAGGAACCCTAAGAAATTGACTGATAAAGAGATATGTACAATGAAGAGGAAAGAAAATGAACCATAATGCAGTACTTAAAGGAGACACAAAAGAAAGATGGAGAGAGACTTAAATTAAGAACAAACCTAACTGCAGAATTAATGGTACACAGAGGCCCAAGAAAACCCAGAACAGAATAATCACTGATCATTCTAGTGAAAGTACAGGACTTCAAAGGAATTACATGGCATCCAGCTTAGGGTGAAGAATCATTTCTAATTATGATGGACAAAAGTCAAACTGGTGGCTGGTGTGTGTAATTCAGGAGGTTCAAGAGTTTGAGGACAGTCTGGGAAAGGGCCAGAGGGATGGCTCAGTGCGTGCCAAATGTGACAGCCTGAATTCAATCCCAGGCCACACGACATAAACTCCTTTCCTACAAGCTATCCTCTCACTTCCGAGAGTGTGCCATGGGTGCCTGCCTCTTGCCCCCCTCTCTCTCACACACTCATGCACATGCACTACATGTACTTAATAATAACCTAATTTCACCCTGGTGTGGTAGCATACGCCTGTAATCACAGCACTTAGGAGGTGGAGGTAAGAGAATCAGACATTTAAGGTCATTCTCTGCTGTGTGGTGAGTTCCAGGCCAGCCAAGATATCTCCAAAATCATCAGAGGAAGAACTTACGGTATAAAGTCCAGGCCCTCCAACGTATGAAGGCAAGCACGCCAGAGCACAGAGCTACCAGTGGCTGGAGCCTTTGGAGATCAGGAGATTAGGGCCAATTGTAGGCCAACCTTTGGAGCATGATAAATATTCAAATCTGCATTAACACAGGTAGTATGAAAACAAAACAGAAATGGGCAGAAAAAGAAGCCCCTGCCAGCTGGGCGGTGGTGGTGCTCACCTTTAATCCCGGCACTTGGGAGGCAGAGGCAGGCGGATCTCTGTGAGCTCAAGGCCAACCTGGTCTACAAAGCAAGTTCCAGGATAGCCAAGGCTGTCTGTGTACAGAGAAACCCTGCCTTGAAGAGAGAGAGAGAGAGAGAGAGAGAGAGAGAGAGAGAGAGAGAGAGAGAGAGAGAGAGAGAGAGGAAAAGAAGCCCCTGCTTTACAGTCCAGGGTCCCAGCACTCACTCTGAGTCTGCTGATTTCAGTGAGCACCCAGAGGAGTGTGTGAGTATGTGTACATATACCTGTGTGCATGTGTGTTTGTGGTGTGTACAAGTGTGATGTATATGTATGTTCGATGTATGGTACACATGTGTATGGTACATGTGTATTTATGTATATATTGTGGTGTGTATTCATGGTGTATATGTATGTGTAGTGTGTGTGTATGTGCATGTGTGTAGTGTACATACAATGCATATGCAGATGTGTGTGCACATGCACATGCCAGGAGGATGGTGGGTATTCTGTTATATTTCTCTCCACTTTATTTTCTTGGAAAAAGATCTGACACTAAACCTGGAGCTAGGTTGGTGGCCAGCAAGTCCCAGGAATCCTGCCTCTACCCCCTACAGCACTGGAGTAATAGCAATGCCTACCTTTTTTTTGCGGGCACTAGGAATTCGAACTCACATTTGTATTTCAACCGCTCTTACCTACTGAGCCATATTCCCAATCCCCAGGTTTTCAGTCAATGAAATGTCTGCAAAGAGGGGCTGGACGATCACTCAGCAGTTAAGAGCATGCACTGCTCCTGCGGAGGACCTATATAAAGTCCCAGCACACGCATGAGGCGGCTCACAATCTCCTGTTCCTCTAGATCCAGGGGAGATCCTATGCCTCTAACTACCACGGGCTTCTGCATACACGTGCATATACCCCCACACAGATACACAAGCACACACATACCCACGCGCAGACACACACATACCCACCGCGCAGATACACAGGCAGACACACACATACCCACAGGCAGACACACACACACACACACACACACACACACACACACACACACTTAGAACTTTATTTTTACATCTGAAAAGAATAGAAGAGAAGACGACACTGGTTTCATAACACAGTGATGTAAAAGCCTTTCACAGACACTGCTCTCCTCCTAGGAGACTGAGACAGTGACTCAACAGTGTTCCCAAACGGTGCAGAGGAAGATTCCCATGGCAGGATGCAATTGCGTTATGCCCAGGTGTGCTCAGGGAAACACACTGAGACATGACACCCTATACCTCGGCTTACGCCATAACTTACTCGTGCAATGGGATATATGCCTATACCAAAGTAAATAATTCCCAATGTGGCTTAGTTTATCTAGAGGCACAGTCCTCTAAGTCACATATCATAAAACAAATCACAACAATAACACTGTACTCTAACAGTGCCTCCAATGTTTGGCCTTTAAACTTAAAAAAAAACATATACCTAAAAGATAAGCTGTCCTACAGGCTTTATGAATGTCACATTGTCCCTCTGTTACTCATTAACCTCATGCCAGGCATGGGAGCCAAACGCCTTTCCATCGCGAGCTCAGTGAAAGGGTTTTAAATGATGAAACGCATCCCCAGCAGAGCTTTGCCCCTGGGTCACTCACGGCTGGATCAGGTCATCGGTGTGGACCACCCCCACAAGCTACTAATGACCAAAACAATAGCCGATGATGTGAGAAGCTAATTAAATTCCTAAGCACAACTATCTCTTTTACCATTCCAAATAACCCTGTGAGGTAAATATGCAATACAGTGTGTGGCATGTAGAGAATGCTCTAGAACAACACTATTATTGCAGATGAGGAGACTGAAGCTTAAAGGGGTAAAGCAGCTAATCAAGTGAGTCCCGAGCCTGTTGAGGATGGAGCTGAGCAGGCAGCTTGCATGCCCAGCATGCATTTGCAAGGCCCTGGATCGGATCCTCAACACAGAGGTCAAATCCAAACAGACCCAGTCAAATCCAGAGCCTGTATCCTGCTCTCAGCCTCCGTTCCATTTGCTTCCCCCACACAGAAAAGTACCAAGCAGGTCACCCAAGGTAACACAGCACAGGAACGAACAGGACTGCAGTCTCAGCCTCAATTACAAGATATCCAAAAACAGCTCTGAGAAAGCGGCTTCTCCCTAATATAAAAGCCACAAATTATATTTTGGGTAGAGAGGGAAAGAACAGGAGAAAAGAAAGAAAATCCACATCACATACAGGGCAAGGCATATATCTCTGCATGTAGGCCTTAGAGTACTGATCATAGAGCTCAGCCCTCGGGGCCAAACTGCCTTCCAAATTTTTCACTCTGTACAGTCAGCTGACCAACTACAGCCCAATACACCAAGGCGTGCGCTGCGCACACCTCGCTCTCGGGGTGAAGACACAGAAGTGATCAGGCAAGACAATCTCCAATTATTTTTTAGGTATTATTTTGAATAGTATACAAAATGCTGGGCTTCATCACATTTTTACACAGGAATGGTATTGTGTTTTGCTCACGTTCATCTCATTAGTCTCTCTTGTTCCCCCTCCACGTGAATACTATTAACATTTTTTTCCTCTGGTGGGACTGAACTCTGTGTGTGCTAAGCAAGTACCCTACCCTGAGCTACACCCCCTTTCTGCAGTTTTATTCTCAGAGAATAACAATCATCTATGCTGAAATAAAACAAAGACTCCAAGCAAACAAACAAAAGCTAAAAGTGCCTAACATTTAATTATGCCTTTGAGAAGATGACATTCACACAGGAGGGTACTTTCTTCAGAGTAAATGAACCCTGCAGGGGAAACATGTCTCTTGCAATTTCAGTATTACGTACACATTCCAAGATAGATCTTATCAATGTTCTTTCCAGTGTTCCAAGCTGCCCATGAAGGGGGAAAAGATCTAAAGACTTGAAGTCTCAGGTCAGCTAAGGCTTTACAATGCTGGTTTCAAGGTAGCAGACTAGAAAACTCTTTGAGAACAAGGGCCCTGAGCCCCACCAATAGCTTCCCCTCTTAAGAGATAAGATTTTTAAAAAATGCTTACAACTTGGTGCTTAAATTTTTAAGTAGAGCAACATTTTTTTTTCGAAAGCTCTCAATGTTTAAGATTTGCTGGAGACAGAATAAATGCACTTTGGTTCAAACTGCACATTCCAAACAGCACAGCCCGCGGCCGTGTGACCCGGTGCGATTCGATTCTCTTAGCCGTTTCTCCCCCTCTTTTCCGCTTTCCTCTTCCACGCAGGAGGAAGGGGAACACCTGCTCTGCTAGCTCGCGGCTGCAAGGGGGCCGTCAGCAAGCGGAGATGCCGTTCCGCCCAGGCCACTCACTCACAAGCCCGCAGCCCCCGGCTCCCGCCCTGGTCCAGCCCCAGTGAGCAGCAGCGAGTCCTGACGCTCCGGGAAGGATGCTCCCGGTGGCCGGCCCTCCCTGGGAGATCGCGGCGACACGCGCTCTGACCTGACAGCCACCGTCGCGCCCCTCGGCTTCCCTCCCGGCCCCGCGCGCCGCCAGCCGTCTCCGACCCGGGAGTCCCCGAGCGTCCCCGAGCGTCCCCAGTCCCCGACCCACACCCGGGCGCCGCTTCCCGCCCCCAGGGCGCTGCAGCCCTCCCGGCTAAGAGCGGGGCCCCGCGGCGCCTGCCGCGCCTCGCCGGCCCCTCTCCCCAGGCCAGGCCTCCCCAGCGTGGTCGCCGGGCTGCAGACTTCTTACCCGGGAGCTTGAGCGCCCTGGACAGCACTGTCGCCATGGCGGAGGCCCCCGTGCGCGTGCGCGCGCCGCGTCCTGCCGGGAAGTGTAGTTCGCCTGCGGGCCGCGCGTGGGGCGTGGGGCGTGGGGCTGCGGGCGGGAAAGGGGTGAGCTGCCGCGGGCACGGCTGGGAGGAGGCGCCCGCTACCGCGGGTCACCGGCTCGGCGCCGTGGCGGGCCGAGTCGTACGTGCCTCCCCCACCGGCTGGAGGTCCCACCGATGTGCGGAGAGCCTGGAACGAGACGGCCCACGGTGAGGGAGGCGCGGGCTGGGAAGTTCAGTTCGCGCGTGGGTTCGGGATTGACAAACTGGACCTGAAGCCTACTTGCGCTATTTACTGCCGGGGCCCTCTTGGCAAGCCGCTGAGGTTTGGCTTTGTTTGGCCTTCAGTCAACCAGCCTGTCTGTCCGTCAGTTTTTGAGACAATGGAAACTGTCTTTGTAGGTGAGGATGACCTTGAACTCCTGCCTCCACCTCCAAGCCTGGACATTACAGGCAGTTGGCGCCACACCAGATTTTATTGTTGTATTTATTCATTCATTTATTTATTTATTTAACTTATGTATCTACAGCCAGGTGTGGTTTGTGCATGCTTTTCCTGGGCAGACAGATCTGCTGAGCAGTGGTGGTGCACGCCTGTAATCGCAGCACTCAGAAGGCGGGTGTCTGTGAGTTCGAGGCCAACCTGGCCTACAGAGTGAGTTCCAGGACAGCCAGGACTGTTTCAGAGAAACCCTGTCTCAAAAGGCAAGACAACAATAACAACAAAACCCCAGCACTTGGGAGGTAGAGGCAGGTGGATCTCTGAGTTCAAGGTCAGCCTAGTCTACAGAGTGATTTCCGGCGCAGCCAGGGTTACACTAAGAAACTCTGTCTCAAAAAAAAGTATTTATTAATTTTAAAAATTATATTTTCATGTGTTTATTTTTGAGATCATGTAGTACATACAGACTGATATCGAATTGGCTATGTAGTTGAAAGTGGCCTGGAAATCCTAATCCTCCGGCCTTCACTTCATAAGCACTGGAATTACAGACATGCAACAGCACACCTGGCTGGCGCTCTTGAAATGAAAATGAAGCCATCAGTCCTTCTTGCTGAGGGAATGAAGTGGTACCATCCATTTAAAGCACAGGCTTCTATCTGAAGTGCGGACCGAAGCATGCAGAGGCTCCGACAGGCCTTTCTTGGTCCAGTCCTGACCGTGTATCTGTTTACACCCTACCGGCTGCTCCTGGCCTACAAGGTTCAGCAAACAGGAGCCGGCTGTTTCTCACCCACATAGAGATCTGCAGTTAGTGCAGGAATACTGAAAGCGTTAGATCAGTTTGAAATTGGAGCCTCCTGCTTATCTCCTCAGGTCTCTCCACCCGCTGCCAAATGCGGATAAACAGTCCTGTTCTGAGAGTCAAAGTAAAGGAGCAAAGCTTTGAGCACAGGCAACTCGGGTGTTTCCTCAGTGTCATTCATGGTGTCCTATTGGTTGATGTCTTATCGTTTTGTTGTTGCTTGAGACGGTACCATTGTGTAGACTAGGCTGGCCTGGAATTCAGAGGTTCACCTGCCTCTGCCTCCCAAGTTCTGGGATTAAAGACATGTACCACTGCACTGATTTATTATTAATGCTTAAAAATTAAAAATTTGGGTGCTAGAGACATGGTTCAATGGTTAAAGCACTGGCTGCTCTTTCAAAGGCCCTGGGCCCAATTCCCAGTACCCCATGGCAGCTCACAACCATCTGTAATTCTCCTGACGCCCTCTCCAGTCTCCTCAGGTATCAGGCAGATACATAATACACAGATATACATACAGGTAAAACACCCATATGCACATAAATAAATAAACAAACAAATAAATAAATAAAATGTGTAATAAAAGGACTGAGCCACCACACCTCACAATTAATAATGATAATAATTTTAATGGATTGGTGATGTATGTGTTAATCCTTTTAAATAAATAAATATGTCTAGTAAAAGGACTGAGCCACCATACTTCACAATTAATAATGATAATAACCTTAATGGATTGGTGATGTATGTGTTAATTCTTTTTTAACGTTGATTTATTTTGTGTATGTGTGTGAATATATGCATACTATTTTGAAATTTATTTATTTATTATGTATACAGTGTTCTTAATATTTACTTATTATGTATAGCGTTCTAACTGAATATATCCCTGCAGGCCAGAAGAGGGCACCAAATCTCATTACAGATGGTTGTGAGCCACCCTGTGGTTGCTGGGAATTGAACTCAGGACCTCTGGTAGAGCAGCCAGTGCTGTTAGCCCCCGAGCCATCTCTCCAGCCCTATGTGCACACTTCTGAGGACCAGTTCTCTCCTTCCACTGTGCAGACGCCAGTGTCGGGAATTGAACTCGGGTCATCAGGCCTGACTGTATGTACCTTTACCCACTAAGCCATCTCACCGGCACCTTATGTGTTAATTCTTTCAGTCTTCTATAATAATTGCAATGTTTCCTCCTTGCCAGCCTCTCTGCATATGATTAAAAGCCATATGTCATATCAATGTAGGTCATCCAAGAAAAGAAACCCTGCAAGTCACAACAAGCCAGTAGCTGCCTGGTGTCAGATCAACTCATTGGGACACATTCAGAACAGGGAAGACTGATGTCAGTCACCCTGGAATGTGAGAAGGATATAGAAGGACAGGAACTTTAAGCACCTGGGACAGACTGAAGGGGCCCAGAACAGCCAGTTTACACACGGTAGTGAACGGAGAAAGCTCCATGCACTTTCCACAGTGAAAAGGCAAACTCCAGGAGTGCCTCTGCTTGTGTAACTGAAGTGAAAGGAAGTTGTGCACATCACAGTTTGAAAACTTTGCATCCAGGCATGGTGACACATGCCCGTAAAGTCAGCACACAGGAGGCTGAGGCAGCTTGGAGTTGCAGTTCAGTGAGTAGCAGCCGGATTGCATGAGGAAACACTATCTCCTCGGGCAGTGGTGGCCCACTCCTTTAATCCCAGCACTGGGAAGATAGAGGCAAGCATATTTATGAGTTAGAGGCCAGCCTGGTCTACAGAGTGAGTTCCAGGACAGCCAGGGCTATGTAGAGAAACCCTGTCTCTCAGAAACAGAGAGAGAGAGAGAGAGAGAGAGAGAGAGAGAGGGAGGGAGGGAGGGAGGGAGGGAGGGAGGGAGGGAGGGAGGGAGGGAGGGAGGGAGGGAGGGAGGGAGAGAGAGAGAGAGAGAGAGAGAGAGAGACTATCTCAGTTTTTAAAAAAAAGCAAGCAAACAACCAAAAAAGACAAGGACTTCTACCTCTGGGTGGAAACCTCTTTGGGGGTCACATATCAGATATCCTGCGTATCAGATGTTTACATTATGATTCATAACAGTAGCAAAATTACAGTCATGAGTAGAGTAGCAATGAAATAGATTTAAGGGGCCTCAGCATTAGGAAGGTTGAGAACCACACTGATCTAGGGAAATGGTTCAGTGTGGAGTGCTTGTTGGGAAAGCATGGCACCCTGAGTTCAGATTGTCAGTACCCCATAAAATCCAGGCACCGCTGCATGTTCCTGTAGCCCAGCACTTGGTTGGGGGGCAGGAGGATCCTGGTGTGCTCTGGCCAGTCAGACTAGCCTAAACAGTGAGTTCCAGATTCAGTGAGTGTGCTGGTCAGGTTTGTTTGTTTGTTTGTTTTTAAGACTGTAAACAACATTCTGCCTCCATGTATACTGTCATGCCAGATCTCATTACAGATGGTTGTGAGCCTCCATGTGGTTGCTGGGATTTGAACTCAGGACTTACAGAAGAGCAGTCAGTGCTCTTAACCTTTGAGCCATCTCTCCAGCCCAGCTGGTTAGGTTTTGTGTTGGTGGTGGTGGTGGTGATCGACAAATCATCTGGGGAGAGGATACCTCAATCAAGAAAATGTCTCCATCAAACTGGCCTGTGGGCAACAAGCATGTGGGGAATTTTCTTGATTTATGATTGCTGTGTGAGGGCCCAGTCCACTGTGGACAGTACCACTCCTGGCAGGTGGTCCTCAGTTGTGCAAGAAAGCAGGCTGAGCAAGCCATGGGGAGCAAGCCGGTGGGCAGCAGTTCCTGCCTCCAGGTTCTCGCCCTGCTTGAATTCCTGCCCTGATTTCCCCCAGTGATTGACTGGAGGGTGTAAGATGAAATAAACGCTTTCTTCCACAAATCGGTTTGCTCATACCACTTTATCACACCGGTAAGAATCAAAGTAAGACCGTATTTCAAGAAAAAAAAAGTGGAGAGTTAGATAGATGAGGATACCCCAAAACAAGCTCTGGGTTCATTCTACATGCATAGTCACAGACATGCTCACATGCATTGATGTACTACACACAAAAACGAAAATGTAAAACTTGGCTTTAAACTGTTCGGTTACTCCCGATGGATGCCTGCATACATACACACACCCAGCAGATTTGTTTTAATCTGTATGACAGTTTCTACCCTCAGCATCCCAGCAAGAGCTCTCCAGAGGGAAGCCGATGTGGAGAGGCCACAACCTCCCCGGCCCCTACAGCTTTCATCCATTTCGCTGGCCTTGTCCCCTCCAGGTGTCTGCTTGTCACATCTTTGCCCCACTTGAACACAAGAACTACAGCTCAGAATCAGATGTCTCAAATTTAGTCCACCTTCCTTTTTCTTTTTCTTTTTTTTTCAATTTATTTCTTTATCTGTTCTTTTTGGGGGAACAAAGTCTCACTCTAATCCAGGCTGGCCTGGAATTCACTGAGTTTGAGGAACGTGGGTCAACCCTCCTGCCTCTACCTGCTGATTGTCTCTCAGTTTAAAGAAAGAATTAAGACGGTCACCAGAGGTATCAGGATCTTTGCCTCTGCCGTAGAGAACACCTGTGAGTTTCTCTAGCAGGCAGACTGAGTATCTTGGATGCCAAAACACCCACTGAAGTCATTGTAGAAAGTACAGAATCCCCAGGACTCCCTGGCTTCCAAACTTGGCTTGCCTCCAGGGAAAGTCAAAGAAAGGTGACTGTAGAGGGTGACCTGGAACAGCCTCCCACGCCTGAAACCGTGCCTGCTCTGAATAGAAAATGTTGTTCTAGAAATCACAACAGAAGCCACATTGATCCCATGTGGGAGACACAATCATTTACAGAAGGATTCCATTTTGGTCATCGCTTTTTGTCTTAGTGACACACCTGGCATCGCTATGAATCTCTAGAGTGTCCTGCATGCTATCAAAGGAAGGCCAAGCCATGTTCTCTGATACTTCTTATTCTCTGCCGCCATAGACACTCCTGTAGGTCCTGAGCTCCCTGGTGGGTTTCCTCACTTCCTCTTGGATCCAGGACAACCAAGGCCACCAGCGCTGCTACCCGTCACTCTTGGGCTGCCGGGGCCACCAGGCTCTCTGCCTCCTCTCACAAGGCTTCCGGTGTCTCACAGATCAATACTATACCAGAGTTTAGTGCAGTGGAAACTGGAGGAGACAGGTTCTCTCCTCCTAGGTCAGTCTCAACTTATTAGGAAATTGCATACATTATCCTGCCTATTCTTCAAGGTCAAACGGAGTCTTTTCATGCGTGCTTTCCAGTTTTAACGGGTGAGTCAGCCAGGGGAAAGTGATCGCCATAACAAGCAACCTCAATATTTCAGTAGCTTTAGAGAATACAAGGTCGTTGCTAGTTAAGTCACAAAGTAGGGTCCAGGCAGGCGACACGAGAGGCTCCTTTCTTCCAGGTCATTCAGGGGCCTAGACTCCTCCTGTCCAGTGTTTCTGCACCTTACGGCCTTGGAGCCCTTCTCTGGGTCATTGCATCCCAGCTCCTGCTGTCCTGGGAGAAAAGAAAATGTGTTTAGAAAACATGCGCTCAGTTTCTGGTATGCTAAGAACTTCTCATAGTTACAGAATACAGGCTTGAGAGACCGTGGCAGCACACATCTATAACCCAGCTCCCGAAAAGGGAAATCAAGAAGATTGTGGGCTCAAGACCAGCCTGGGCTACACAGTGAGTTCCTGGCCTTGCGTAGTGAGACTTGTCTCAAACAGAGAAACAAATACAGAGAAGCTTGAACCCTTGATGACAGAGAAAGATTGCAGGCTTTGTTCTGCTTGAGCCCAAAGCCTTATCCCTAAGCTGAAATGTCCTCCTCCTGGGTTAGGAGCTTGCGACTGTGCTTAAAATAAAGCTGTCCCTAGGGGCTGGAGACTTGGCTCAGTAGTTAAGAGCACTGGCTACTCTTCCAGATGAACCCAGGTTCAATTCCCAGCACCCATATGATGGCTCACAACTGTAACTCCAGTTCCAGGGGATCTGACACCATCACAGACATGCATGTGGGCAAAACACCATCGCATCTGACAACCTCACACAGACATGCATGCAGGTAAAACACCAATGCATCTGATAACCTCAGACGTGCATCGGGTGAAACACCAACGAATGCCTGCTGCGCAGCCTGTATCCTAGAATGTGGCGAGGGGGTCGGGATTGATGACACAGAGACCAGTCGGTTGCGTTAAGAAAACTTTATGCTCCCCAAATCGGCTTAGGAGAACTTCCCAAGAAAAATGCTTCCCTTCAGAAAAACTTCTGCCATACATACACGCACAAATCTCCAACAGACCTCCCCTTCCTCCTGGCTGGTGGTTAAAATCTCTGGCTCCAGAATCAGAAAAACAGCAGGGAGCAGAAAAAAGTAGCTAGCCATCCAGAAGATCAAAGTCAGGGTGTTTCAGTGACCCAGCCCTTATCAAGCCCTTATCAGGAATTTATGGCACTGAATTGTTTTCAGTAAACATGTTTTTAGTAAACATTGTCTCACAGCTGTCTGCTCCCAGGCTGATGGAGGAGTGGGTTTCCGGCCAGGGTCTGTGATCCCCACAAACATGCATGCAGGTAAAACACCAATGCATCTGACATCCTCACAGAGACATGCATGCGGGTAAATAACCAATGCACATAAAATAAAAATAAATAAATCATTTTAAAAATTACTTCTTTAAAAAATTAAAATAGCCAGGCATTGGTGGTGCACGCCTTTAATCCCAGCACTCGGGAGGCAGAGGCAGGTGGATCTCTGTGAGTTTGAGGCCAGCCTGGTCTACAGAGCAAGTTCCAGTACAGGCTCCAAAACAATACAGAGAAACTCTGTCTCAAAAAACCGAAATAAAATTAAATTAAAATAAACCCATACCTAGAAGCAACTCCTCTGGAGATAGCTCTCTGGGGGACAAATACCATCTGCCATATTGGAGATAAAGATTCAGAAGCAGGAATCAGTAGCCGGAGAGACCTGAAAACCAGAAAGCAAAGACCATAACAAATGACAGAAGGACAGGGAGATGGAAAGGAGCGGGAAGAGCAGCCCAGGAAAGAGAATGATGGGGTTAAATGCAACGTCATGGAACCAGAGAAGTCAGTCTTGCGTCAGGAACTGGGAAGAAGGTGTTGGCCTGTGGTTCACTCACTTCTCACAGGGAACTTGAGTCTGACCGGGAGTAGCACAGCTGTAGAAGACAAACAGGTTCCTGTTCCCAGCTGTCCTTTAATAACAGAAGGGCTCCTCACTAAGACGTGTACACACCTAGATTTATGCAGCCTAAACAATTTTCTGTGACCCAGACTATGAAATGCTGCTTCCTAGGCCCTGAGGTTTAAACAAAGTCTTCCTATCAAGTCCTTAGCAGGGGACATAGGTATGAGAATAACAATGCAATTAAGGGCAGATCCACCCACACCGACTGAGACCCACCCCCACAGGCACACGCCGTAGAATTCTCTGTGGTTTGTTCATGCATCTGTGACACACTTGAAGTCATAACGTGGGTGGTGATAACTACCACTGACAAACCCTTATCACACGTGAGAACATACTATTTAGGACACTCGTCAACTCTTGCAACAGATCAGGCACTTTATCAACTTTAAAAAATAGTTAGTTAGCTAACAATCAATGATCAAACAAATTAGGACTTGGAGAGTTGCTTTCCTGATAATTTAAGAGCTGGGAGATACAGGTCATGACAATACTCAGCATTTCTCCAAAAACGACAAAACATCAGACACATCTGTTCTCCTGGTTCTGAGCTTCCGGCCCCCTCACTGTGTCTTCTTCAGTAGGACTCACTTGGGTCCATTCTGCTCTTGGGTTTTCTCTTCCTGCCATCCTTCCTGCTTCTGCTTGCCACGAGCCGACGTCACCTTCATCCTCCCAGGCAACCTGTTATCGCGGAGGACATTACTGCTGTAGAATTCTCCCACAAGGTTCTTTACACTGTTCCCCCAGGGTTAACCCATTTCACTGTCACAACAGTCCTGAATGTAGGCGCTCAACCCCAACCTTCCAAAGACGAACTAAAGGTTGACATCGTGTTAGATTAACCTGTTCACTGGATTCCATGAAGGAGGAATTTAATGGGGATTATTCTTTTCTTTCTTCTCTTCTTCTTCTTCTTCTTCTTCTTCTTCTTCTTCTTCTTCTTCTTCTTCTCCTTTCTTTCTCTCTTTTTTTTAAGCATCTCACTGGTTCTTGCTCTGTAGAGCAGGCTGTCCTTGAACTCACAGAGATCTGACTGCCTCTACATCCTGAGTGCTGGGATTAAAGGTGTGCACCACTATACTGTACTACATTACACTATACTATACTATACTATACATCACGAGCAAAGATATTACATAACACACATGCTAAAGAATCCTCCACACCTTAGGATCAGTTTCTCAATCCGTAGCTCAGCTGTCCAGGGAAGCACTATTTGTTTAGCTGGAAGTTATTAGTCGGGCTGGAGAGGTGACTCAATGGTTTACAGCACCTGCTGCTCTTCCAGAGGACCCAGGTTCAGTCCCCAGCAACTGTGTCAGGTGACTCACAAATATCTATAATCCTAGCTCCAGGGAATTCAGAGCCTTCTTCTGGCCTCCCTGAACATCCACATAGCGTACACACAGTTAGTTATTGGCACACTCAAAATTAAATAAATAGAATGTTGGGTGGAGAGACACACACCTTTCATCTCAGCACTGAGATACAGAGACAGGCAGAGCTCTGTGAGTTCAAGGATAGCCTCGCTATAGAGTTCCAGCACAGCCAGGGCTACATAGAGAGATCCTGTCTAAAAATCTAACTGAATAAATAAAGAATTAATTAAATGGCTGGAGGTGACACATGCCCTTAATCCCAGCACTCAGAAGGCAGAAGAATGCAGAAATCTGTGAGTTCAATGACACAGTGAGCTGAAGGACATCCAGGGCTACATAGTAAGACCCTATTTCAGGATTTTAATTATATATGCATAAGCATATGAATAACAGTTAAAAGTCAAGTAAATGAACAAATACCCAAGGTCTTCAGTGCTAGCATAAATGAAAAATCAGTATGTCTAATTTCATGGGAAAGTCACTCACTGGAATATAGTATCGGTAGATTATATATAAAATACTCTCACTGGGCATAGTGAACGCCATTAAATTCCAGCACATAGGAGACAGAGCAGGTGGATCTCTGTAAGTTCTGGTCCCCAAAGCTAGTTCCAGGATAGTCAGGATAGCCCCAACATAGAGAATCCGTGTCTCAGAGGGGAGGAGGGAGAGAGAGAGAGAGAGAGAGAGAGAGAGAGAGAGAGAGAGAGAGAGAGAGAGAGAGAGAGAGAGAGAGAGAGAGAGAGAGAGAGAGAGAGAGAGAGAGAGACCCTGTTTCAAGTAACAGCAAAAATCTCCTTTCTCTGAAAAACACGTATTTATTAATTTTTAGGACTTGGCTTTAAAATCAGGAAACTGCTCCCCTGCTCCTGCTCCGAGCCTTTATTTCCTTTCCTTCCTGGATAGAGGCACAGAGATGAGGGTGCTCAGAGGAGCCCAGCAAGGCCTGTCTAGTCAGACCCTCTTGGCGTCTGACTCGCAGCCTTCCTCGTCCTCCTTTTGGGTGGAGCAGGGTCGCGCTGGAAAGAGATGCCTATCGCATCTCGCACGGGAGGACTTCTTTATCTCCAGCCCTAGACAGGAAGGTGAAAGGCTTCCTATGACCTGCCTCGGGCAAGAAGAACTTTGGCTTCTTGGATTCACGTTGGGGAAAAAAATAAGGGCAAGAGGCGGGTGGTGGGGAGACCCGAGACCTTGGTTCTGAGGCTGCTTCTAAAGACCTCCAACATCTGTTGGAGTCAAAGTTCTCAGCTTGTCAGGATGCCACGCTTTGGAGACTCTCTGTTTGGCCTCCAACAGCATCCAGGTAGAGTAAGAGTCTAATCTCTTGTTTGATTTTTATTTTGTTCATTTTCATATAGTCCCACTATGGTAGCCCTGGCTGGCCTCTGCCTCTGCTCCCACCTCGCCAAAGCTGGGCTTGCAGGCATGTGCCAACACGCCCAGGGGACGTAGCCCAGGGTTCTGCGCATGCCTGGTAAAATTTCCACCAACTGAGCTACATCGCTAGCCCCAACACTACCTACTCTTAAGTTATAATTTAAAAGACGTTATGAAGGAAGAAATGGGCAAATAATTAGTTAAATGAAATCTTTAAAAAATGTAATTTTTTTGTGTTGAGTGTATATGTGTGTGTGCATGTGTGTTACTGATATTTAAAACTAGGGTATCCGCCAGGCGTGGTGGCGCATGCCTTTAATCCCCCCACTCGGGAGGTAGAGGCAGGCAGATCTCTGTGAGTTCGAGACCAGTCTGGTCTACAGCGTGAGTTCCAGGACAGGCTCCAAAGCTACACAGAGAAACCCTGTCTCGAAAAACGAAGAAGGAGGAGGAGGAGGAGGAGGAGGAGGAGGAGGAGGAGGAGGAGGAGGAGGAGGAGGAGGAGGAGAAGGAGGAGAAGGAGGAGAAGGAGGAGAAGGAGGAGAAGGAGGAGAAGGAGGAGAAGAAGGAGAAGAAGAAGAAGAAGAAGAAGAAGAAGAAGAAGAAGAAGAAGAGGAAGAGGAAGAGGAAGAGGAAGAGGAAGAGGAAGAGGAAGAGGAAGAAGAAGAAGAAGAAGAAGAAGAAGAAGAAGAAGAAGAAGAAGAAGAAACCTAGGGTATTAGGCATGCTAGGTTACTGCTTTACCACTGAGTTATATACCCTACCACCTTTATTGTAAACACAGTGTAGTTCTTGAGATATCTGCCTACCGAGGGAATCCCAGGCCTTAGTGAATCCCAGCTAGCAATTTCAGACCGAAGCCTTCACAGTGGAGCAGAAGAGGCCATATTCTGGGCATTATATTTCAGGGCATGCTATGCTTTGGAGTGTCCTACTTGAGCTTTTTATGGGTCCCCTCTAGTGCCTGACACCAGCTGGGTGCGATGATACTCTAGGAAACCACAATTAAATTCCCTTTTCAGGACATCTCAGAAGGGCTCTTAAGCCCTGTCACCACCCACAGCCCGTGCATTTAGTGTTTCACTGGAAAATGCAACTGTTTATATGGGAGAAGTCTAACTGGAAAGAAATTCCCAGGTCTTTCACCTGCAGGGCCACCCCACCTCGCTCTCACACAGGTCAAGGTCAGCCCTGTTAAAGGGGATTTGCGTACAGATGTGGTTCTGATAGTTCGGGGTCTTAAATTGGATGGGAGCTCAGGAGCCAGCGGATCCAATCCACAGCAAGCAGCAATTGCTTCTGCAGTCTGGCGTCCCATCTCTTTGGACACCATCAGATCCTGAGAGCTCATGCCATGTGGGCACTGTCCCATGCAGTAGTTACTTTCTGCCTCACTGTGACAAAATAGCCCACAGAAGCAACTTTTATTTATTTATTTTTATTTATTATATATATAGTATTGTGTCTACATGTATCCCTGCAGGTCAGAAGAAGGCACCAGATCTCATTACGGATGGTTATGAGCCATCATGTGGTTGCTGGGAATTGAACTCAGGACCTCTGAAAGAGCAGTCAGTGCTCTTAACCTCTGAGCCATCTGCCCAGCCCCCCACAGAAGCAACTTTAAGGGATATTAATCCACCATGGCCAAGGGGCATGGTGACTGGGAGCTTGAGGCAGCATTGGGTCCACAGTTGGAAATCAGAGTGGGAAAGCTGGTGCCTGTAAAGGAGAAACCAGGTACCTGCAGCTGACCACGCCCCCTCGGGCGTGATCACAGGTACGTGGGAAGATTCAGGGGATAAGAGAGGTGGAGGAGGGGGGCAGTCTCTCTCTCTCTTGAATCCCAGCCGGCGGTTTGGAGACCATAGAGTGCTGACCCGGCTTTTCGTGTAAGTGATTGCTCTCTCTAAATACATATCTAGACCCCGTTTCCGATATTAGTTGCGTGGATATGTTCAATCTTCAGGTGTCTCGCTCACTTTCTCCTGTTTACCTGTGTACTCAGGCTGGCCCCCAGTCCTGCGATAGCAGATAGCATCACCACAGTTAGGGCGGGTCTTCCCTTGGGTAAACCTCTCCGGAAATGCCTCATAGATACGCTCAGAGGTATGTCTCCTAGGTAACTAATTCTAAACGCAGTCAAGTTGACCATCAAAGCCAACCGCTATTCCCACTGTTGTTCAACATCGTCCCTCCCTGTACCACCCAACAACACTGCTTTTTTGAAGATATGAGAGACAAAGCCTAACTAAAGACAGCAGCCCCAAACCCACCTCTTGGGTCCCTTTTAGGGAGTAAAATCATGAGTAGCTTTACAGAAGGGAGACAATGGGGCAATAAGGAAATACAAATAAACTAAAAACCAAACACATCATGTGGTCACCCACCATGTGATTACAGAGGGGTTATGAAGGATCAGGGAAGGTCAGGGAATTCTCAAAAACAAAAACAATCAAGGTCACAGATTGGGGAAGGTCAGATGCCAGGAAACAGAGAGCAACTCAACTCTCAGAATAAACAGAAACTTATTTTTAAAAATCTGGCATAATGGCTCCTGCCTTCAAAATGGAGTCAGGCAGGTTCCTCAAGACATGGGCTGCCTCTGCTTTCCAGGTGCTGGAATTAAAGCCATGCACCACCACAGCCCTGCAACAACAAATACATATATATATATATTTAACTAATAGCATGAGAAATTTTCTGTTTCTATAGTAGGGGCTTAAAGGCCACAAACCACACCCCCCACAGAGCTCTGTTCTTTGCTTGAGAATCGGTTTGAGGTTAGCCTCAAACTCCCTATATAGCCAGGATGTCTTGCCCTCCCAATACACCAACCTCTCCCCGCCTGGCATTATAGGGACTAAAAAGAGGATGTACCTGGAGCCACTGGGACTCTTCCCATCCTTGTGACTCTTCCTCTGCTGCCCTCAGAGACCTGAGTTTTTGTTCCCATTTGGAAGAACAAAGCCCCATTCTGCTCTCCTGGCCCAGCCCCAAAGAGGAAACACCATAGAGAAAGGCTGTTCTGTGAGAGGTTTGCATCCATCTTACATAATTCCTTTCTAGTTGTTGATTTATTTTTATTTCGTGTGTTTGACTGTTTGTCTGCATGCATTCCTATGTACCTTGTGTGTGCCTGGTGCCAGCAGAAGGCACCTGACCCCCTGGAAGCAGAAATAGACACTTGTGAGCTGCCGTGTGGTTGTGGTTACTGGGATCCAAACCATCCCTCCAGTCACTAATTCTTCCCGTTTTTAATTTAACCATCTAACCTTAATTTAACTCAGTCCCCTTCTATTTCTGCTGTTTTGTTTTGATGTTTGGTTTTGAGACAAGGGTTCATTCCACAGCCCGGACTGACACAGAACTCTCTCTGAGGCCTAGGCTGGTCCCTGAGCTCACATCAATCCTCCTGTCTCAGCCAAGTCCTAGAATTGCAGGTGTTAGCCACCACTCCTAGCTTCCATGTCAGTCATTTTAATTGAGAAATTATTGAATATGCTTTTCTCTATTTCTCATTTAAGGATCGGGCATGGGAGTGTCTCACTGCTTCTGTTAAAATGTTCCCTCTGTAACACCTTTACTGTATGTAGTTGTAGATTATTCTCTTTAGTGAACAGGTCGAAAATACAAGCTGGCGTCAATGACCTGATGCCTCTTCCTTAGTTTATTTACTTAATGTTTTTGAGACATGGTCTCATTATGTAGCCCTGACTGGACTGGAACTCATTGTGGAGACCAAGCTGGTCTCAAACTCAGAGGGATCCACTTGTTTCTGTCTCCCAAGTACTTCACTAAGAAGATTAAAAGCAACTGAGTGGTGGTGATGCATGCCTTTAATCCCAGCACTTGGGAGGCAAAGACAGGTGGATCTCTGTGAATTCAAGGCCAGCCTGGTCTACAGAGTGAGTTTCAGGACAGCTAGGGCTGCTTCACAGAGAAACCCTGTTTTGAAAAACAAAACAAAACAACAACAAAAAAGATTAAAAGCATGTATTACGATATCCACATATTCAGATTATTTTGTTTTTATAAGGAATAAAGAAGATATGACTCATTTCAATTTTGTGAGTATATAAGTCTCAGTGAAGTAAAAAATAAATAATTAACACACATACAAATTAGCTTTACTTATTTAAAATAATGATAAAGATCCAAAAGGGCTTATAGAAACAGACCCATGTAAACTCAGAAAAAGTCTGGAGGTTCTGACACACACCTTTAGTCCCAGCACTCAGGAGACAGAGAAAGATGAGTTTCTGTGAATTCAGGCCTAGCCTGGTCTACAGAAAGTGTTCCAGGACAGCCAGGGCTACACAGAGAAACCCTGTCTCAAAAACCAACATTAACAACAACAAAGAAAAAAAAATTGTGTGTGTGTGTGTGTGTGTGTGTGTGTGTGTGTGTGTGTACTGAAGTATGAGGTGTGGAAGCATCAATACCAAACCATCAGTAGTGACTGCTCAGGAAGCATGCCGCCATGAAGGCGGTAAGGCTACCCAAAGGGAGGTTTTACACTTCATTCAATATTCATTTGTTTTTGATGAATGATTTAAACCAAAATGTTTTAAGACTAAGCCTCATTATGAAGTTCTGACTGGCCTAGAATTCAAAAAGATCTACCTGCCTATCCCTCCTGAGTGCTGTGTGTAGGGGAAAAGGGACCAGCCAAAGAAACACACTTTGGCCCTGCAACCAGAACCAAAGAAATGTACCCTGACCCTGAAACCAGTGCCAAAGAAACACACTTTGTCCCTGGAATCAGAGCCAGTGAAAGAAATGCACCCTGGCTCTAAAACTAGAGCCAAAAGGCTAAAAAGTGAAAGAAACACACTTTGGCTCTGAAACCAGAGCCAAATCTGGCCCCAAACTTGTGCAGAATCCCTGAGCAGGAGATCTAGGCATCCTAAACTCAGGATTGAAATCTGACCAATCCCCACCCTGGAAAACTCCGCCCCCTGGAAGCCCTATAGTAACCCTGTGTGTTCAGCTTGTGGCTGTTTGTGCTACCCAACTGTCCTCTGCCACTCTGGCAGAGGGCAAGCACTCTCCTGGGTTCTTCCCTCCCAATAAATCTCTCGAATGAGGTTTGGGTACGTCTGTGAGAGAATTTCCAGAGAATTTAAAATGAGATGGGAAGACCTGCCCAGAATGTGGGTGGCACCACCCCCATGGGCCAGCTTCCCAAGAACCCAGGAAAAGGGAGAAAAGGAAGTGAACAGAGCAAAGGCCGGCCGTCTGCCTCCTGGAGCGTGGAGAGTCCCAGTGCAGGATGCTGGCCCCAGGAGTGCCGCCATACGACTAAATCCTCTTACGTCATGAGTCAAAAGAAACCGTTCTTCAAATTGCTTCTGACGGTGTTTTGTCACAGTAACAAGGAAAATAACTAATACAGAAGCGGTGCTCAGATGTAGTTTTCTATGGTCTCTTACTACCACCCCCCCCCCCGGTCTCTTACCCATCATTCTCTGCTGAGACAGCCCAGAGAAGTTCAGATTTCGCTTTCCAAAAGCAAGTCATAGAAACCAGGCTTCCCCTGAAGTCAACCAACCCAAAAATACTTATATTGCCCTATCTTTCTGAACAAGAACTGAAATAAATAAACTCCCTTATCAGCGGCCATCAGGACTTCGCTGGAGGTTCTCATTGACTCCCTGGGCTTTGTGATATCCATCAAAGGAATTTGGACAGGAGAGCACAGCACGGTTGGTAGTGTACAGGACATACACAGCACGGTTGGTAGTGTACAGGACATGCACAGCACGGTTGATAGTGTACAGGACATACACAGCACGGTTGGTAGTGTACAGGACATACACAGCACGGTTGGTAGTGTACAGGACATGCACAGCACGGTTGGTAGTGTACAGGACATGCACAGCACGGTTGGTAGTGTACAGGACATGCACAGCACGGTTGGTAGTGTACAGGACATGCACAGCACGGTTGGTAGTGTACAGGACATACACAGCACGGTTGGTAGTGTACAGGACATGCACAGCACGGTTGGTAGTGTACAGGACATACACAGCACGGTTGGTAGTGTACAGGACATGCACAGCACGGTTGGTAGTGTACAGGACATGCACAGCACGGTTGGTAGTGTACAGGACATGCACAGCACGGTTGGTAGTGTACAGGACATGCACAGCACGGTTGGTAGTGTACAGGACATGCACAGCACGGTTGGTAGTGTACTGCAGAGGAGAGAGGACTGCTCTCAGGACAAGAGTGGCGATGGCTTTGTGGTATTTGTCAAGTCTTAAGAACAGACAGCTTTTCCTGTGGGCGTTTCCTGTCCAGATGATTGATGGGCTCATTTGGGTTGACCTTTATGGAAGAAAGCGATGACTTGACATGCTCTCTATCAGAAGCCTGTGGCTAGATAACAATCTTGTAAGATTTAGATAATTTTGTATTAGTGACCTTCCAGGCAGTTGAGAATGTCATGTCCCCATACAGGGACAGGAGTGTGACTCAGATCCCATTCTTTTCACCAGCAGCCTTATGGCATCTGTTCCAGGTTTTACAAGCTGCTAATTATGAATGAGGAACCCCAGAGATCTCCGAGCCTGCTAGTATCTCTAACTAGGGGTCAGTGAAGTAGTTCAGTAGGCAAAGGTGCTTGCTGTCAAGCCTGAAGACCTTAGTTCAATCCCCAGATCTCCAATGTTAGAAGGAGAGAACTGACTCCTAAAAGCTGTCTGACCTCTACAAACACACCATGGTATAGTCTATATTCATGCCAGTATGAACACACACACACACACACACACACACACACGGACACACACATACACACACGGACACACAAAAATAAAAACACAACATTGTTTAAAATATAATAAATTATATCTTAAAAAACCTTCTAGTAAGATATATTACCAGGCAAGATCTTACTACAAGAATATCTTAGCCTGCTATAATGGTTCCAGCCTGTTACCCTACCTCTTGACAGACTGAGATGGGAGGATTGTCAAGAGTTCTAGGCCAGCCTGGGTTACAGAGAAGACATTCCATGACCAAAACAAAAAACGAAACATGAAACATCAAAGAATCTTAAATTTTATCCATGGATT